TTTTTTTTTTTTTTTTTTTTTTTTTTTTTTTTTTTTTTTTTTATTTGTACTGGTTGTGTATAAATTTAACCTTACTGTTGTCCCGTCCCATATCTCCCCAATTGTTGGCAGAGTCAGTAGCATGTTATGGGCAGTTATTTAATTAATTTCTCTAACACCTACCCCTACACATTCCTATTGAGACAAGGGTTAGATATACATCTACATACTATATATATATTTGGCTATGTGTTTGTATATATATATATGTTTATGTATATGTGTGATTCGGATTAAATAGACGCTACGATTTTTTTATATATGTAAAAAGAAGAAACAGGAAAAATAGAAAATTCTACATCTTGAATCTCTCTCCTTTTTAATTTTAATATTTGTTATCATTTTATTTATTGGTGCTACTGTTTATCTGTAATAATTGCGGGGAAAAAAGATATTAACACTACATATTGTGTCTAGTGAATTTTTTCAAGATATTCCTTAGTACATATTTATTTTTAAACAAAGAAATTACAGATATATCTTAAAAAACAACGACGACGACGACAAACTTTTTTTTGTATTAAAGAATTTAATTCTGATCTTGATTTCCTTTGCCTTCTCCTTCTACCTTGCATCCTGGTTTTCTTCCGTTGTGTAACAGTTCCTCCAGTATTGCCTCTGGAGGCTACAGGGCATCAGCAACCTGCCAGTTGGATTCTTGGATTTGGGCCCAGAGCCTCCAAAAGCATCTAGGTACCAAAGCCCATAGAAACGACTGGGAGGTAGGCACCAGAGTCCTTGTGTGGAGCTCACTCTGAGTTCCCTCCTTGGTGAGAAGAGGGTGGTCTGATGGGCAGGACTGAGGGGGCAGAACTCCTGGGTTCCTTCCCATCCTGATGCCAAAGAGTGTCGTGATGGTCCCAATCCTGCCTCTGTCTTGTCGGAAGCCAAGCCCCATGAGCTGGGCGTTGTACAGGTGATCCTAGTGGAGTTTACAATCCAAGATGAAAATAAGGCTCTGAGCCTGCTCTTCCTGGTAATGGACTTGGTGTTTGCAGTTGGAGCAGTGTGTATGTAACCTGCTGTCAGTAATGGTTCAACATGACTTCCTCACCCCGGACAGCACTGAACAAAAACCAGCTCTGACCATGCTCACCACTTCATGAGGGATTTTGATACTGTTGCATCTTTTATAATGTGCTTTGGGGTCTTTGGGAGGAAAAGCTCTTCGACAGCAATGTCATTTCCTTGTCAGCCATGGAGATGAATGTGTCATATGTCAGTCATCTGGCCACGCTGGAAAGGAGCATGCAGGATGTTCCTGGATGTCTGGGAGGTGACTCACTTGGGTTAATACAGACCACCCAGTTCATGGCTGCATCGTTCCTGCTCTTGCAAAGGTAAAGGATCTTGCTTTTATTTTGGATTGACTCAGGTAGCTCAACAGGTGGATCTGCAGTCACTGCCTCTGCAGAGGGCGGAGTGGAGAAAAGAGGATGAGTACTCGAGGATGCTCTGGTTCATTGTGTTCAGTAACATCTTGTGGAGTACAGCAGTGAGGTGAGAAGGTGAGCGAGGGCCATCTGGATCTTGCTGCGTGAGGAACCCGAGGAGTTGCTTCTTTTGCGTACTCACCACTGTGGATTTTTTTGTGGATCTTTGGGCTGCTTCGCAGATGGCTGTGCAAGATGATGAAGACTGTGAGCCTATCCTCAGGAGACCTGCATTGTCTCCATGTGACCTGGGAAATATTTACAAGTCATCAAATTGGAAAGATTGAAACCGGCAGGTCAGTGTTGCTCCCCTGGGCTGAGCTGTGTGTGAAATCGCAGCACAAGGGGACCCAGGTCTCCCAGATGGATGAGTCAGCGGGTTCCTACTGTCAGTCACAACACATCAAATCCTGCCCACCAATGGCAAGCTGGGCTGGCTGCTCCTGGCGCCTGGAGGACAGGAGCTCTTTTTCTGCCTCTAAGGGCTCAGGAGAAATAGCATATCTGCAGAGCCAGGTGACCTGGTAGCCACCTACTCCATGAGACTGTCTATGCCTGGTTGGATGGCACATTTCAGCTGGGACAGCTCAAAGAATTTGTGTGGCTACAGCAGAGCCAAGGTAGCTACCTCAAACAACTGAAGCAAGAACCTGCTGAAGCCAGCTCTGAATGAGGAACCTGGGGCCCTAGAAGCAGTCCAGCTCTTCTCCTTTATCCTTCAGGGTGGATATAACTGGGAAAGTCACCTCTCACGAGGAGAGTAATCATAGCCTGGTGTTAGAAGTGAGCTCAGGTTGCCTGGAGAGGCTGTGCGCAATTGAGGCCCCTGCTTCTGGAGGGGCTGGGAGGCAGGAGTGCAGTTGCCCCTCACCCTGCTCAGAGTTCTCACCTGGCTTGCCTGTGCCCTGTCCCGAGGTGAGGTGAGGACACGTGGAGGGAGGCCAGGTTTTCAGGCTGGCACTCTGGTCTCGGCATACAGCCTTTCACCCTGCGCACGAGAACTTTCCCTGAAAGGCTTCTGGTCACGTCCACGTTTTGGTTGCTGGCTAATTAAAATGCTATCTTCAGACAGCTGGCTGGTGCTTTCCTCGTACCTCCTGCATTTATTCTGTGGGATTCAAAAAGCGGAGGCACCATGAAAGGCAGAAAAGGGTGTCCTGGACAGACACAACAGAAAACCCCACTTGCAATGGAATAAAGGGTTGGAAACCCTGTCCTTCTTTCCCTTTTGGCACCTGCTAGCTGGTTTAACCCCTTGTTGCTGATGTCCTGTGCAGCTGATCGGGTTTGTAACTTGGCCAGGCTTTGCTTGGGCTTCACCACCAGCTGAAGTGTCTATGTTAGAAATGCCTATAAAGCTCTTGTCCTTCAGCATGGTCCCTCAAAGGACTTTGGAAACCCAAAGGAAATTAATTCCACAGGCCGTGTCCTCCACTGTCTGCCTGTGGGAGCTTTGGTAGTGAGAGATGGGTATTTTTATCGTAGACCACGTGGTGAGTGTGCAGGCAGTCTCTCTGTGCTTGGGATGCCTGAAATTCAAGGCTAATCCCAGTCATCCAGCACAAGGTCTGCATCCCAGTCTGTGCAAACACCATGCTTGCTCCCAGGTCCCCATTTGGGGCCAGGGCACTGTGGCCTCAGTGGCACTGTGCCACCCCAGAGGCAGCTGCTGCCCCCACCCCCCCCTTCCCGCTGTGCTGCACAGCACCCCTGCATGATGGGGTGGCTGAGCTGCTGTCCATCCCAGAGGAACCAGGGGCTCGTGCCTGGACCTCCAGCCAAGTCCTCCATATCTCATAAGAGGTGGCGAGTTGTGGATAAGAGCAGGGAGGTGATATGCCCTGCACCAACAGTGAAGGAGGGTGCGAAAGGAATGCAAAGAGCGCCTGACTGCAGATTTGGGGAAGGTTTGCCCTTCCGTGTGGGAGCTGGGAGGGCCTTGGGGGCTTTGCATTCAGGAGGGGACAAGTTTCAGGTTCTCCTTCAAATGTCAGTGGTTTGCTGGCGGCGTGCACCAGGGTAGTGTCTCCCAGAGGTGCAGCTCACTGTGTGTGTGAGGTGATTACAGACACACAGGGAAATGGGCTTGTTGGGCAAATGCCACCTGTTTACCTGCCCAAGGCTGGCCTCCCAAGGGCAAAAAAGCCTTTCCATAAGGATTTCTTTAAACTTCCTGCCTGAGCCACCTCCATACCTTCAGGCAGGCAATGCTCCACACTGACAGCTCTTAGGAAACACCTGCAGTTCTGGGCTATAGTACATTGCAATATGGTGCTAATCCTGCTGGTTCATGCTCTTTGCTTTTACTTCGCTGTTTCAGATGCCCCAGACACTTGTTTGGCGATGAAAAGAAAAAGCGCAATCCCTCCCAATCTCAAGAGTACCCA